GTCCCATAGGTTTGGGTATGTTGTGTCTTCATTCTCACTGAATTCTAGGACGTCTTTAATTTCTTTTTTTATTTCTTCATTGACCCAGGAATGATGCAAATGTGCATTATTCAACTTCCATGTGTTTGTAGGGTTTCTGCAATTTGTGTTGTTGTTGAATTCTAATTTTAACGCATGATGGTCTGATAAGATCCATGGAGGTATTCCAATTGTTTTTTACCTGTTAAGATTTGATATGTTGCCGAGTATGTGGTTGATTTTTGAGAAGGTTCCATGTGGTGCTGAGAAGAAGTTATATCCTTTTTTATTTGGGTGGAATGTTCTATAGATGTCTGTTAATCCCAATTGGGTTGTGACTTCTATTATTTCCTTTGATTCTTTGTTATGTTTCTGTCTAGTAGTCCTGTCTAGAGGTGAGAGTGGGGTGTTGAAGTCTCCCACTATAAGTATGTGGGGCTTTATATGTGATTTGAGTTTTAGTAATGTTTCTTTTATGAACATGGGTGCCTTTGTATTTGGGGCATAGATGTCCAAAATTGAAACTTCATCCTGATGGATTTCTCCTGTGATGAGTGTGACATGCCCTCCTTCATCTCTTTTGATTGATTTTATTTTAAAATCTAATTTGTTAGATATTAGGATTGTTTCCCCCGCTTGTTTCTTGGGTCCATTTGATTGTAAAATATTTTCCCAACCCTTAACTCTGAGGTAATGTCTATCTTTGAGGTTGAGGTGTGTTTCTTATATGCAGCAGGATGGGTTCTGCTTTTGAATCCATTCTGGTAGCCTGTGTCTCTTTATGGACGAGTTAAGACCATTGATATTGAGGGATATTAATGACCATTGATTGCTCATTCTTGTTTGTTTTGGAATAGTTGATGTTGGTGAAATTGCTTGTTGATTTCCTCCTCTTTTCTTTTGGCTGTTGGTAAGGTGGGATATCTATTGCCTATGTGTTTCTGATGGTAGTTAACTCCCTTGGGCTGGTGTTTTCCTTCTAGAACTTTCTGTAGGGCTGGGCTAGTGGAATATCTTGTTTTCTCCTTCTACAGTGATTGAAAGCCTTGCTGGGTAAGCAGTCTGGGCTGGCATCCGTGGTTTCTTCGTGTTGGTAGAATATCTATCCAGAACCTTCTGGCTTTCAGAGTTTCCATGGAGAAGTTGGGTGTGATTCTTCTAGGTTTGCCTTTGTATGTTACTTGGCCTTTTTCCTTTGCTGCTCTTAATATTCTTTCTTTATTCTGCATGTTCAGGGTTTTTCAGTTTTGTGGTGAGTGGATTTCCTTTTATGGTCTACTCTATTTGGTGTTCTGTAGGCTTCTTGTACTTTCATTGGTATGTCTTCCTTTAAGTTGGGAAAGTTTTCTTCTATTATTTTGTTGAATATGTTTTCTGCCCCTTTGAGGTGGATTTCTTCACCTTCTTCTATACCTATTATTCTTAGGTTTGGTCTTTTCGCAGTGTCCCATGTTTCCTCGATATTTTGTGTTGGGATTTGTTGGACTTAAGATTTTCTTTGTTCAAAGAATCTATTTCCTGTAGTGTATCTTCAACACCTGAGATTCTGTCTTCCATGTCTTATATTCAGTTGGTTATGCTTGTATCTGTAGTACCTGACCATTTGCCCACATTTTCTATTTCCAGCATTCCTTCAGACTGTTTTATTTTATTATCTCTATTTCATCTTTCAACCCTTGTACTTTTTGAATTGTTTCTTGTAATTTTTGCTTTGTCGTTTCCTCTCTTTCTTGCATTTGTTGAAGTTTTTGGTTTGTCTTTTCTTCCATTTTTTGCATTTTTTGGATTGTTTTTTCCTCCATTTCTTACAATTCTTGAATTTTTTGGATTGTTTCTTTTCCTCCATTTCTTGTATTTTCTGGTTTGTTTTGTCTTCCATGTCTTTAAGGGATTTTCTCATATCTTCTTTTAGGGCCTCTATCATTTTCATGAAGTTGTTTTTAAGGTCTTTCTCATCTGCTTCTTCTGCAATGGACTGTTCAGGTCTGGAGGGTGTAGATTCTCAAGTTTCTGGTGGTGCCATATTGTTTTTTTCTGTTGGTGGGTGTGTTTTTGTATTGTGTCCTTCCCATCATTTCTTCCTGTGGGTGCAGAAGGAGTCTTTGCCTCCCCTGGTAGGTATATGACCACGGTTCCTTTCCAGTGTGTGGGAGCAGGTCCAATACCCTGGTGGCATTCCTCTTGCTTGGATGGAGGCTGTCCTAGTATTGGGACCTTAGCAAACTCTGGGTAGGCTGGATCCTCACCTAGTCTGACCCGTGGGTGGAGACTGGGACTTGGAAGCTGGCAATCTCTGGGCAGGCTGAATCCCGTCCATCTGGGATCTGGATCTACTCAAAATTTTCTTTTGTTTGTTTTGTTTTCTGAGAGAATAGCAAATTTTGTTCTGGGTTATTTTTATATATGTAATTTTGTTGTTGTTGATTTAAAAATGGGCTCTAGGATTGAAACTCTGCCCTCACACTTAAACAGAAAGCATTTTACTGCCTGAGATATCTCCCCATAATGGGTCTTGATGTCCTGTGTGAAACCTTTCCTTCCCCCCCTCCCCCAAGTCCCCCCATCCTCCTCATAAGCTACCCACCCAGTTAGATTATGGTTTCATGTTTCATGCTGTTGCTTGTTCTAATAAGTTTTCCAAATTTTTGCAAAACTGGGTCGTCATTGAAATGGCTTAAATCATACCACTTTAGTGTTCCTTATATTTTTATTGTTTTGATTTTTGATTGACTCTTTGTGGAGTTTCACATTACACATCCTGATTCTTTTCATCTCCCTGTCCCTTTGTGTCTGCTCTTGCAACCACCCCCAGAAAATAATTGAAATTTAAAAGAAAATGTGTGGACTAAAGGGTGTACTATATGACTCACTGTGTCACAATACAACTTCCATGATGAGATTTTTTTTCTGTCTAGCCAGCCTAAACTACCTATAAAGTTCCTGGCCAATGAGAGAGAGAACACAACTCAAAAAGCATGGTGGGAAGCTCCTGAGGAAGGATGTCTTTGGCTTCCCCTACCCCAGATCCTATGAAAATATGCACTATACAAGTTGAACAAAATTTGAGTTATCATTCCACTCCTTACATTCTAAAAACAACAAAGGGAAGCCACAGAAATAAAGATTCATAGGAATGCTACTGATTTACTGAAGGACTTCAGCACATTTTTATTTTTGAGACTGTTTCATGAAGCCTAGACTGGTCTTGGACTCCTGATTTTCCTGTCTCTACTCTCCAAATTCTGGGTTATGGGCATATGCCTGGTTTAACTTCTGAAGAACTTTTCTCCAAAGGAAGGTAAGAGTCGATTAGGAAGATGGATTTTTAAAAGTTTTATTGATGAATATAAATTTTTTCTTAAATAAGTTTTTCAAAACTTTCCTTGTTATCCTTACTATAGAAGAGTTTAGAAAATCAATGCTGGGCATTAATAAATACATTCTGGATTATATGTTTCTGTGGGTGTAGGACCTTTTTTTGGGTCAAAGCAATTACACTGAAAACAATTTGGCATTCTTTACTTTGGATGCTGTAACAAAATTACCATAAACTGGGTGGTTTCAGTCACAAAATAAGTTCTCATAGTTATCAAAGGTGGATTTAAAGAGGACCCTCTTCAAGGCTGGTAGATTTCTCACTACATTCTTAAGATGGTGCTGAATAAATAAAGGAAACAGACTCTTTTGTGTGTGATAAGGGCGTTAAACACATTGTGTAGGTTCCACACTCAGATCCTCTTGTGACTTAAAAGACAACCATGTTCCACTATTGAGACTAGGCTAGTGGCCTTTTAGAACAATTACATAATGTTCCATTAACCATACACAGCAGAATATGACCAATATTTTATTGTTACTGGACCACAATTGTTCCTACTATTGCCTACTTCAAGTACAATTTAACTCTGGAAGCAAAACCCAACAAAAACAAGGACGTAACTCTCCACACAGCCGCAGACAAATAGCAAAACAATATAAATCACAGAAAAAAACATATAATCATATTTAGTAAAGAAAAAGCAATGGAACTTTTTAAAGAGGTAAAAAGAATCAACACATTTTGTAAATGACAGGGATTGGACTTTGAAAAAGAGATTTTAATAAGTGAGTTTCAGATCAGAGTTGGTGTTGATATAAGTAGCTTTCTGTTGATATTTATACATATTTGAGACCAATTCTCAAAGAGGACATTTTAAATCATCAATAATCTCAAATGGTAAGAGCCAAGACATTTCTCAGATTGTATACCTTTGCCAAAAATAATCATTAAATTATCATCACATCTCCCCTCCCTCCCTCTTATGATTCTATTTGAATCTTTGTCAAAGACCTCTATCCATCTAAGAAATGGAGAGAGATAAATTCTTTTTAAAAAAATAAAGAGTTAGCAGGGCGGTGGTGGCACATGCCTTTAATCCCAGCACTTGGGAGGCAGAGGCAGGGGATCTCTGTGAGTTTGAGGCCAGGCTGGACTGACAGCCTCCAAAACAATACAGAGAAACCCTGTCTCGTAAAACAAAAAACAAACAAACAAAAAAGAGTTAATCAATAGAAAATTGTTTTTATAGGATAGAAAGACTTGAAACAGCTGTAAATGTAAACACACACACAAACTAATTATTAAAAATACTACTTGTATAATGGATTTTGTAATGTTGCAGAGGTAATCATGTGAAATTAAAGAATTTCAGGCAAGGATTGTTAATCAATGTGTCATGTAGATAAGGAGTATAGAATATGACAGACTATTAAAAGTGATGATAGCAAAACCTGACTGATTTCTTGTTTTCACTCTGGCAGGAATGGAATCTATCCTGCTACTGATTCCCAGCTTACTGTCGTATAGGAGGACAAGTTTTGTGAACCTCAGTAAGGCTCCCAGGTTTAGGACTGTTAGAAGACCCATAGTGTCATAAATGAAAGAGTGAGACTTCACAGAATGTGATGTCACTGACAGGTGGCTAGCCACTCTCCTCCACCTTTTCTTCCTCCCCAGACAGACCGAACTACCCCAATCCCTCCTTACTGCCTTCAACCATCTATGGTTGTTCTGGGCAGGACCTGTCTATTAACAACCTTGTCTCGGAAGTGCAGAAACTGAACCCTTGGGGGAAGTTCTGGATTGATCATCAGCACAATCTATTTCACAAACTACGCCTCAGGGCCACTGGACTTAAGCAACTTCTGTCATTTCTTATCCTTCCTCTATTGCCTGTCACTCTGCTTCCCATCCCCCACCCCACTGAGGAACTTTGTTTCCCACCCCATCCAACTTCTGAGACCCAGGGTCCTTGGACCACTTGAAGGTTGATCATCATCACTTCCAGGTACTCTGTCAGGACGAAACCACATTATGGTAAAAGATATCTCATGGATATGGGTAAAATGGGTACTGTTTTGGTAAGGCTTCTCAAACTGATAAATTTCTGGATCAAGATGCTCTGTGTGTAATGACTTCAGACTTGCCTCCAAGGTTAATTCTCATCACAATAAAAAGGCAGAAAGAGCTTGCCCGTACAGATGTTTGAGGGGGAGGGTGGGTCCATGTATGTATGTATGTATGTATGTATGTATGTATGTATGTATGTGTATGAGTGTGTGTGTATATATATACACATATTATCATGTATGTATATGAGAATTTCACTTCTTTTCCTGTTATAGTGCCTTTTCTGTTCATACTGGAATTAAGTAGGTAGCAGGTGTCCACATTGAATTTTCTTCTTGGCTCCCGTTCTTGGTAGATGAATTCTGGCTCCAGGTGGCATCTGTGGAGAGCGAAGAACTTCTGAAACCGTCCCACTGACTTAAGCAGGACCCGGGTCTTGACCAAGACTCCAGGGAACCGCGGAAGGAAAACCAAAGACAGAAAGGACGCTGGCTGGTCGGGACAAGTTCCGAGTTAGCTCAGCACGAACACAGCCCGGGGCGCCGGCTCTCCGTCCTCAGCGCGCCGGCAGGGTGTGAGGTGAACTCCCCTGCCCCGCCGATCCCCGCCGATCCCGGCCTCGGACGCGGGCCGCATCCACCCCACACCACCTCACCCCCGGCCGCAGCGCCTAGCCAGCCTGCCTAGCAACCCCGCGGGCGCCGCATTCCGCCCCGCCCACCACCTACCTGTGCGCCTGCGCCCCCGCGCTCTCAAGGTCGACCCCGCCCCCATCCCACCCCAGCCGGGCCCCCACGGAAGTGGCTGGAGAGAGCACGCCTTGCGTCTCCTCGTCTCTGCACGGCGCGGGGTCGCCGGCGGTCAGGAGGGGGAGGGACTTCCTGTCCCGCGCGGGCAGGACTTCCGGCAGAGCCGGAAGACCCCGTTCTTCCCCCGGCGGCTTGGAGAGGTCCGTTCTGCCTGCAGGACCGGGAGAGGACCTCGAGGACGCTCCCGGCGGCGCGAGCGTGCGCGTCTCCCGACCTCTCCCTGGCGTGATGGTGAGTCCCTCTGCGAGGGCCGGGGTGGCCGCCGTCGGGAGGAGGGGGCGCGGAGGTGAGTCCGCCGCAGCCCGGGGTGAGCGGGATCCCCCATGCTCGGAGCGCGCGGCCGCCGCGGGGCCCCGCTCAGCCGAGGGAGGCGCGGTCCGTCCATCCGTCCGTCGGGGGACACTGACTGAGTGGCCCGCACGGCCTGAGGCCCCGGGTGGCCCCCGGGTGACCTTGCTCCGCTCCTCACCACGTCCCTGTCACCTTTCCCGACGCGGGCTTGCGGCCGGGAATGTAAGGGTGTAGAAAACACCCTTTGAACCCTGCCTGTGTCTTTCCTGGAGACCAGCGGCGCTAGGCATTTAACATCAACTTGGTTTCTCTTAAAACTCAGCTCTTTTACAACTGGAAATATGGTCACTTAAAAAAGAGAGATAGCCAACTTGAGTAATCAACAGATTTAATCCGAAAGGAAAATATGTAAAGTTATTGCGTGGAGAAGAGAGCAGTTGCAGGAGGGAGACTAGCCTCGGCCGTGTTTGCAAGTGTCTGAAAGGTTAGGTAAGAAGGGTTCCATGGAGAGGAGTAATTCTAGAAAGAACCTGGTTTGGGAAGGTAGGATGGAAAGCAGGATGAAGGGCAGTGAGCAGAGGGTGTTTACTGTAAAGTCAGTCATCCTGAGAGTTCCTGTGCTGTTTCAGGCTGGAAGTGGAATAAAGCTCGGGGGCTTGGAGAAAGACACTCTTAATCTTGTAATTAAGCTGCAGGTGCTGACTGATCGCACAGCTCAGAAGTTAACTTATGGAAGGGCAAGGATTAGCTTGACAGGGAAATGGGAGGAGGGCAAGCGGTTGTATAGGGGATGGCGATTGCAGGAAACTTTTCTGGAACAGAAAAGGATTTTAAAGACAAACTTGATGTTTCCCAGACCACAGGGTTCCGGTAACGTTGGACAGTTAACCGCATGAAAGACTTCAGATGTCATCTGCAAGCACGTCTGTCTTCAGTTGGTCATGTCGTGTTGCCTTCTTTTTATGTACACCAGGCTGTCCTCCAATTGAGAGATCTGTCTGCCACTGCTTCCCAGAGTGTTGGCATCAGAGGCAAATGCCCCCCCCCCAGTTTGGTCATACCTGTTGTTTAGGGTCAAATATTGCTGGTTTTAGCTGTTGTGTGTGATGATGTTAGAAGGACATGTGTGATGAGAGTAAACGCTTTGACTCATCTCCGTCCACTTGCGCTCTATCAGATGACCAGTGTTCCTTTTAGTTTAGTTTTTTTTTAATGTTTGAACCTCTGTATAATATGGCTTACAATTCATAAGAGAGTTCTGTTTTCATTTGGCATAATGAAATTAATGAAGGAATATTAGAACTGGAAGGAATCAAGATCTATTCAACTGTCCCACCTAGTCAAATTTTACAGAAGGAAGAATATGGAGTCTGGAAATAGCCAATGATATACTTGAGGTGACATCTAAAGAACTTGGTCTCAGTTTTAAGTGTAAAGTAGGTTTTTGGCTTCTTAATCTAGACAGTTGAAGATAGAATATCAATAAAATTCTTCAATGCATTATAGTCATTGAGAAGTTGAATTAGAATGTGTTCCACTCTGAGAGCTCCAACGAAATAGGTATATTTCCAGCTAATCTCATGGTGATTTTCAGTGTCAGGCTGGATAGTTAACTGTCTCCATTGTGACATTGGTCTTGTTTTTGAGCTACTGGACTAAAGTTGTTCACAGCTATGAAATTGATCATGTTTGTATTTGGAATCCTGAGGGGAAAAATGTCTAAGAATTGAATTTTGTTAGGATGGGCTGAATTTAGGATGCAGCTTAGTTGAATTAGTAGTTTCTTTTAAATTGCTAATCTTACAATGAGCACCATATGTGAACCCTGGAGACCCAGAATCTGCCCATTACGTACCCGAAGTTGTTTACTCAACTCTATAAGACGTTCTAGATTTATGACAAAAGTAGTAGAATTGGTCTTTGAGTCATCTTCTGATTCACATTTAGTGACTTAGAACTCTGTTTCATGATACCTACATATTTCTGGTTAAGATTTAACTTGGTTTCCTTAGCCCTGTAATTCCTTTAAAAATATATTCACTCTTTTTTTTAATATTTTTATACATCATGTGGGTAGTCTTAAAATCTTTGTCTTTATATTTGTCCAAGTATTTCACTACTGTCTTAAATGCTACCCCAGAATGGACATTTTTGACTTTATAATTGTTTAATTGGTTATAAATTTATTCCCTCTCAGTCTTTGTTTCGGTGTCTAGCTCCAAACTTCAGGGGTGTGCTGTGTGTATTGCGTTCTTCAATTGTAAGCAAATGACAATAAGCTTGTGATGTAGACTGAAAATAGGGTGCTCTCTGAATTATTTTGCTTTCGGTTTGTGAAAATATGTAGAAAATTTACTAAAGGTATACCAACTAATTCTGTTATACTTTCTGTTGTGATGGAAGTTTTGCATTCATGCTTGATTTGTGTAGATTAGAGCTAGTGTTGTAGGTGTTTCCAGGCTTGTTTAGTCCATGTAGCAGGTGTTAGCTGTGGGGAGATGCAAAGCTTTGCTATAGAGTTGGTGAGCAGTAGTGCTGGATAGATAAGGTGGTACATGTTATGGGAGAAATACACAGTATACTTAAAAAGTACAGATCAATGCATTGAGTATAAATTTGGGGAGTCCTAGAATAGGTGACCTCTAATGAACTTACAGTGTTGGGATACTTGAGTTAAGAATGGCTGGGCATGGTGGTGCCTGTTTTTTTGTTTTTTTTTTTTTGTTTTGTTTGTTTGTTTTTTTTAGAGACAGAGTTTCTCTGTGGCTTTGGAGGCTGTCCTGGCACTAGCTCTTGTAAACCAGGCTGGTCTCGAACTCACAGAGATCCACCAGCCTCTGCCTCCTGAGTGCTGGGATTAAAGGCGTGCGCCACCAACGCCCGGCGGTGCCTGTTTTTTTAATCCCAACATGGGATCTCTTGAGTTTGAGGCAAGCCTTGTATACAGTGAATTGCATGCTATTCAGGTCTACGTAGTGAGATTTGCCTGGATGGATGGATGGATGGATGGATGGATGGGATAGATAGATAGATAGACAGATAGATAGAATAAAAAACAAAAAAACAAACCTATGATTCTTTGTAAAAATGTATTTTTGGGCCTCATTATTATAACATTTCAGAATCTTTGCCTGCTTGTTTGGTTGTTCTTTAAACATGTTCTTACTCAGTAGTTCAGGCTGGCCTTGAATTCCCTACTATCCTGTTTCAGTCTCCTAAGTGCTGGGATTATTGTATGGGCCATCGTTTCCAACTCAGAATTTTGTGTCTAATGAATTCTGTAGGTAAGTCAGAAACAAGTGGGCTTCAAGCCGTTCATAAAGGAAAATGGAAGGCTGAGATACTTGGGTGTATTTATTAGAAGTTCCTTTGCATTTGAATGAAAATCAGACATACAGTTTAGAAGACAGGTTCTAAGGAGGATTTAGCATTGACCACTTAGTGACAGAGAGTTGAGTTTCTTCTGAGGTTTTCTGACTTCATTCTACTAAGATTCTTCCTTGCTATTTTTGTCCTTCAAGAGGCCTAGTCGATGCTATATTGAGGCTTCCTGAACTCCAGTTAGTATTTGGTTAATCCAACTTGTGCCTGAGCACCTTTGTAGAAAAAAAAGTACCCCAAACATAAACTCTCACTCTTTATATAGCAATTGTCTTGCTCTCTCTTCCGTTGTCAATAATATGGTACCACAGATTGTGTGCATTGTTTAGAAACGGGTTTCTGGTTTGCAGTTTTGGTCCAAGTTGGTGGACCTCATCTAGTGATGACTTTGCTGGCAGTGGTGACAAGAGATGGAGGTGTGTGTGTGGGGGGGGGTTGAGTGCCTGGTGTGGTGTGTGTGAATGCATGCTTTCTTTTCTTGATTTAATATAGGAACTCCTATGATGACCTTATCTGATAGTAATCACATCCCAATGGCAATGCCCTGAAACATGAGTTATGTTCAGTTTCTACCCTCTTAATGCATTGGAAGCAAAACTCTAGTGTGAATTTTAGAGAGGACAAACTATACTTTACCATCTGCTCTGGAATTATGTTTGCTTGAATTAACTATTTCCTTTGTTTAACCAGGCAACTGCTTTTAAAAAAATCCTATTATTTCAAATGATAACCGTTTACTCACTATTTTCAACATTGGTAGGCAAAGGATATAACTTTGTTTTTCGAGACAGGGTTTCTCTGTGGCTCTGAAGGCTGTCCTGGAACTCACTCTGTAGACCAGGCTGGCCTCAAACACACAGAGATCCGCCTGCCTGTGCCTCCTGAATGCTGGGATTAAAGGCGTGTGCCACCACCACCCAACTAGGATATAGTTTTATAAAACAAACATCTCTGCGTTTTTTGGAGCTTGCTTTTCATGAGGAGAGGCTGGTGCAGATCTTGTAGTGAAGCAGTCTTGGTAAAAGAAACAAAGAAAGCAGAAGGAGATAGAAAATGATGGTGGTTGCTATAAGGAAACATAGCATTTGACTGGCACATGTGAGTACAAATTTACCAATGGCATTTTAGACAGTTGTAATATTTCTGGTGAGCAGTCACAAAACTTACATTGTTTTTAGCTGTATAAGACTTCCAGTAAACTCATTACAGGTTTAGATTACAGATACTTTTATATTTAAGCATGAAGATAATGGTGTTTATTTCCTCAATTTTTGTTTTTTCAAGACAGTGTTTCTCTGTGTAGCTTTGTAGACCAGGCTGGCCTCGAACTCACATAGATCCGCCTGCCTCTGTGTCCCCAGTGTTGGGATTAAAGGCGTGTGCCACCACAGCCAGGCCTCGACTGCAGTTTTATGTCACATACTGCAAAAAAGAAGGCTTTCATTGTTTAAAGATTGATTTTTTTATTTTGTGGGTATTAGTGCTTACCTGTATGTATGTGTGTGTGCATGTACGTATGTATATACAATTTGTATGGCTGGTGCAGAGGCTAGAAGTTG